TTGTCGACAATATCCCTGATAAACATATCATCGCCTTCATGTCTGCCCCACCCCTGGATCTTCTCATCAAATCCGTGGCCCATAAACATCATAATAAAGGTGTCGTTGTGTTCAGCATCCACTGCCTCATCCAGTATTTCCGATATCTGTTGACACGTCTTATTCGCATGAATGGTCACATTGAAGTGCAACTGATTGAAAATGCACTCAAATCTCTTGCCCTCTTTCATCAGTTCGTCGACTGTGATGAATATGAGAGCCATTCCCCTGGGGGTGGAGTCCATGGTATAGCAACGTGTAGTTCCCGACCTCAATGTGATGGCCGGTGTGACACTCAGCTCTACCTCATCGGTGTAGTCGATGACGGTTTCGGATTTGTTGAATGTCCTCAACTGGTCGGCCGCGCATACCTGACCCGATTGTTGTAGCATATTAGCCAGCACATTGCAGTGCTCCCTTTCACGGGTGAACTCCGAGAATATTCTGATTTTGCGCTCAGAATCGGTGTCAAAATTCTTGAAAAACAAATTAAATTAAATTTAAGAACCGGATAATTTAACAAAAAGTTAGTGTAAAATATAATATTATACTTTAATATCTGGTAGCATATATGCACATGGATGCCTTTCAAGTAATTGCATGAAGGTCTCACTCAAATCAATGTCTTTAATGAATTCACTGAATTCTTTGTTGAATTTAATTCTGGGGCCCTCCTGTTCCATATTGGCACTGGTGTGGCACTGGTATGGCACTGGTATGGTGTCTAGTGAAGCGGGGACTGACCGTAACGAAGGGAAGACTGAATGCTAAATACAATTTCAGCACAATTTACAGTAAAAAATACCTAAAGTATAGAAAAACCTTCAAAATAGAAAACTCTAGAATACTCAGTAAAGTTGGCATTGAATCGAAAAACACTTTAAAATATTACATTAAAATTAAACATAATTAAAAGTCAAATTAAGATCTCGAGTTGACATCAATTGAAAAAAGACCAAACTTTAAAAATATTATAACGAAGTTATTCCACTTAACTAGCACAGTTATTTTTATTAATAAAATAATGCGTCGACAAAATTATATAAAACAATATACTCATAAACAATGAAATAAAAGTGATGTTACATAATGTTTACTCACTTAATACTATTAGTCTGAATCGTAAAGAGAAATAATAGATTTACATAAATGTTGTAAGTGTTAGAACTTTACGATTACTGATATATAATAGATATATTAGTTAAAAATTAATATTAAATTTTTAAGTCTTTAAGCTATATATCAGTGAATATTTATTTAGGAAAATTTCGATTAAAGTGATCATATGATTTTGGCATTAATCAAAATTAAAATAAAAAAAACATAGGATTTTTTGGACCAGACATACTTACAGATATTATACTGTAATATTGAAATACAGTACTTATATTATAAGAGTGCTACTACTACTACTACTAAGGTTAATGGTAAAGTTTTTAATATTATCATATGTATCCAAGCATTAATTCATATAAAGATTGTGAATTAAATGTTATTTGTTGCACAACATTATAGCAAAAAACATTTCACTTTCTTTTATTAATTTTACAGTACATGCATTTATTTAATAAATGAATATTATTCTAATTAAAAGTTATTAAATTTTATTTATTGTTATTATGTGCCTAATTAGGTAATAACATAAGTTAATTATATAGTTTATTAAACATTATTAAGTTTAATGGAACTTAAAATTATCATTGTAATAAAAATATTATTGTCGTGAATTTATCATAACCAATAACTAGTATAACACTTTACATTATTTAAACTTTGTACTATGTCTACAAAAAATAATACTAATAATGAATAAATTATTTTGTCACATAATTTAATAATTATAATAAAATCAAAATTTGTTACATAACATAAATTATATTGTTTGTTAATACGGTAATATGAAACATCTCTATGAATTGACCTTATACAATTTTAACAATTATATAATAATATTCTATTTGAATGAGTTATAAATTTTTATAACTTTTAAATTATTACTATAATTCAAGTGTTTTATAGCAAAATATGAAAGCAATTTATATGTCAATGAAACTTAGTTTATTTTTAACATTATAAAACACCAAAAACTAAACATTTATTTCAGTTTGAATTAAGTTTAATTTTTATTTGTATTTATCAACAAATGGCTTATAAGTCACTCTTATTGTTTTCATTAGTAATTTTGTCCACAACTGGTATGTTATTATTGAATTGATTGACAATTCTGTGAATTGATATTTAAATCCCAGAATTGATTCAATCGGATGGGACGGAGACTATACACGAGACACGAATCGTATCGAAAATAATCCCTAAAAACAATGACGAGTCGACTGTCGGCGAGAAAATCATCGAAACAGTGGAGCAAAAAGAAACTAATACTGAAAATATGAGTGAAGAGGATATGGGTATAAAAGGCAATAAATACAACATTTCACTCATTATAATAATTGATTTATTTTTACAGACAAAAAGTGTTTATTTAGTGGAAAGTGTGGTTCAGGTGGGTCAAATGGACAGTCACAGTCACAGAGTATTAATATGAATGGCCAGTTTGGTGCTAATCAAATGCAAATGGGTCAAATGCAATCGCAATCTATCAATTTTGGATAGTTTTGACAAATGATAATAAACAATTATAAAGTTAATCAAATAAACAAATCAATGTCTAGTTTTTATAACTATATGATATTCTATAAGTAAAATAAAAGATAATTTTAATCACTTAATTGTTTGAATATGATCACAAATGATGTAAGCAAGGCAAATGAGAAATTGATGATGGAAGGATTATTGTTATTGTTACATAGTATGTCATAAAACCATTTCTAAAACCCTCATTTCTATTGTAAACAATTAGTATTACTTTTTATAGTTAAATTTCACAATTACAAGATGTTTGAATTATTATCTAGTACATGTTCAAAATATCAATTATTTCCCTTAGCTTAGTTGTTAGGTTTACAAGTTAGAGTTAATTTCAATTATGGGCTGTTTCAATTTTAATCAAAACACATTTTATAATGTGAATTTTAGCACATTAAAAAAATTATTTAATTTCTGAAACATATTCCACAATAATTACTAATTAAAATTATTTTGTTAAAACAACTGGAAAATGAATTTAGTTAAGTTATTACTTGTAACTACTATTGTACTTATTGTATGGATTGGTCAGTAAATGTAATCATAATAATTTATTGGATGTATAATTTACTTATTAATTTTATACATAAAGGTTGTGTATTAAGTGATACTGAAAATGGTGATCATATACCCGAGCTAATAAAAGCTGAATTAAATAAACACCCGGAGCTGACACCATCTCAGA